TGATGATTTCTATCTGAGCTTGATCCCCAGACAATGTATTAGAACAGGGTATCACATGGTGCTCTTGCTCAGTCTGAAGAACAATTTTGTTTTCTATAGCCTGTGCTTGTTGTTTAGTGATTTCTTGAACAGAGCTTCCATCCTTAGGAAAAGAAACACCCAAGGTTTTTCTTTTTACTATTCCAAATTTAGGGCACTCTTGAAGTATTTTTTCTGTGGCTTGACAATCAATGAAAGCAGTATTGGACTTGGTGACTTCCAGATCACTGTGATTATCTATAAACAATACAGTATTGTCCATTGGCCTAGTGGTTATTTTGACTGGTGAGACAGTTTTATATTCTAAGGCAGTTGTGTGAATTCTAGTGATCTCCATGTCATCCTGCCCACATGTATACAAAACAGTTTTAGAAGTTCCTGCCAAAGGCACCAACAGAGAATCTTTTCTATCTTCTAGGGCATTTTTGTTATTTATTTTCATTGTACAACTCTGGATGATATCCATATCATTTTTATCATTACCTGAAAATGCAATGGGCTTGTCATCTTTGAGTCTAAGGCTTTTCCTTCTTTGACTTTTGCCTGACAAATGTTCATTCAGAAATCCAGGCTTTTGTATATCTTTGTCATTTTTCCAAACAGTTGATGTAGACACATCTATGTTTTCATCAGCTATAAATGCTACAGCTTTCTCTATAGGAACACTATTAGATCGGTCCCCAAGAAGTGTTAGCTGGCTAACTTTTGCTGCTGAATGGTCACTTTCACCATTCTCCGAAAAGGAAACACTCTCCTCAGCAGAAGAGGTCACTTTTATTTTTCCTACACTTTTCCTTTTGAATAGTTCAAAGTCAGGTCTGTCTGCAAGTACAGTTCTTTCTAAATTAGTCTTACTAAGTTCTTGTACTTCAGAAGGACCAAATCCAATGACAACAGTGTGACTCTTGGTTAGATCCATATTTTGCTCCACTTCTGAACAAGTAATTATCTTGTCACGAGAACAGTCAAGGGTGGGATTACCTAAACTTTTCCTCAGTGGCTCAGGCAGTTTAGAATTCTGGTCTGGTACAGATTTAACTATATGACTGTTAACACCAGTATTAGGATTTTCCATGGCAGATTGGCCTTCTGAAGACTGTTTAGTGATTGGAAACAAAGCTTGCTCACATGAAACTGTATTTCTATTCTTTCCCAGTGCTACTTGTTTATGAAGATCTCCACGAGAGTATACTATATTATAGCTTGTTGCTTTGTCCTGGTTAATATCCACTGGCTGAGGAGAAACTTTATCAAGATAGGGTGAAATCTTCAAAACTTGATCTATTTCTTTGCCCCAGGCATCAGTTAGGATGTTTGTAGATATTATTTTTGGTTGTCGGGAGAGTTCATTATGAGTTTTGGTCTTTTTTCCCCATTCATCTAAAAGGCTTTTGCTGTCAGAGTGAGATGTACTGGCATCCTTGAATGCTAGATTATAAGATGCAAAAGGAGCTTGACTTCCTAAATTAGTTGTATGACTTTTAGTCAAACCCTCATCTTCACCTGTGAAGATTACAGTCTTTTTACCAGCCAATGAAGTAGACAAAGGATCTGCCTGGGTCTGTTTTAATCTTTCCTTAGATACATGAGAAACTGAGATACAATTTACATTCATTTCCTCATCCTTTGACATAGTTATGTGATTTTTGAGCATCATTTCTTTTTCAGATATTGGTTTGGCTGTTATCTGGACATTTGTCTGATCTTCTTTAAAAATTTGATTTTCTATTACAAGTGTCTGACTCTTGGTAATGTCCATGCTATCCTCTCCTGAGTAAATCGTTTTCTCCATGAGAAGAGAGCTGGTATCTGGATTATGACACATTTTGGCATAATTACGGTCATCCTTTAGCAAATTTTCTTCCTCTTTCATACTTGAGAGACACTTGGTCAGTTCCATGGCATCATTACAAGTAGAATACAAAAATGTTTTATAATCTTGAATTGCTGGACTGAAACATACAGATTCCGGGACCATGGCCAATGTTCTGACATCTTGGTTAGAAGTCTGTGTGACCATGTGAGTTTCTGTCCCCATAATATGACCTCTGGTAATATGTATGTCACCTTTAGGATTTAAGGGAGAGTCTGGAAAAGCAGCATTTGGTTTATTCTCAAAGACTGTCGTCTTTGCTGGAGCTTTAGTTCTATAACCTGTTGTAACATCCATCATGACAGTCTGAGTTTGATTTTCTATTTCAGATAAATTATCTGCAGAGGGTAAAATTTGTATAGTGCGGTTTATT